GGGCGTTTGGGGCGTTTTGTTCGCGTCCATCGCGTTCGGTGTGAACACACCGTAAGACTACAACATAACATGGCTGTCATGGTCTGGGTTCCCTCCCGGTTTTCCTGTCCACTGCTCAGGTGTATGTGGGGAGGTCCTGCGCCGACACACCTGTTCATTATCAGGTCATTACCCTCCTGTATTTAAGCACCAGCTCGAGCTTTCGCTGTTTTCATTGTGCGATCGGACTCTCTGATGCTCGTCGATGTCTCTCTGCCATCACTTTGAAGAAACTCACCTGTAATCCCAAGCTGGAGTTTTCCTGTGGAAAGAGGAACGCCCTCCATCGTTTCCCTGCCTCTGGGAAAAACTCTGCCACCTGCTCCAGCAGAATCAGAAGCTGAACTCATCCTCACCTGTTCCGCCTCCTGCTGCAGACACCTGTCCATACACCTGAGCTAGCCTGAGTCCACTGACAGAGTTACCTTCATCAGTTATGATGCTGAGTTTGAGCGTTAAGGACTGATGACAGAGTCTGGATGGGGTGAAGGTGTGGAGTTTCCTGAACATGTCTCCAGACTGTCGATGTCGCGATCACCTTCGCTCAGTGGCGCTCCATCCTGCTAGAAGCACTCCAAGCTGCTCCTGGATGGTTGGAAGGTGTTGGTCTGTGAGGACGTCGCAGTGAGATCAGCTTGGAGCTCTGATACGGTGGGACTGCAACTCCACACGTCAGGATTTGGTCCAGAAGCTGAGACGCAGCAGAAGAAGACGGGTCAAACACTAATGTGGGTGGAGGGCTCATCCAGCAGTAAAAGTCTGAAACTGTTCCTCAGCGAATTGCAGAAGTCATCACACTGAAGCGTCTGAGGAGGACAGACGATGTTTCGTGTGTGAGCAGCTCTGACTCTCCTTTAAAGGGACGCGTGAGCGTTTCCCGGGTCGGCGTGTTAGGAGCCGCAAGCTCCTTCAGACACGCTCGCAGTAAAGCAAAGAAGCTTTGATGCGCGCCATCGCACGACCACGTCTCCATCCAAGCACTCGAGATCGTTCATGTTTCATCTTAACCCTTTGTGTCAGGCAGACTGACTTTCCTTTAGTTCTTCTTCTGCTCTGTGAAGCGCCGGCTTCAGTGTCGTCATCTCTTAAATCAGCTTTAATCACCTGCAAACACTCACACATCCGCCCGCCTGAGAGACGCAGCTCCAGCTCTAATGAGTCTTTAAGGTGGCCTTTCAAACCACATGAAGTGAAACCACACACACACACACACACATACACACACACACGACACACACGGCTCTACCTGTCTTGTGTCTCCAGGTGTGTTTTAATCTCTCTGTGGTCTCTGCGGTGTCACATATCAAACAGACTCCCGCCTCACCAGAGGCCGCGGGGCTTCCAGGAAGGAAGTGGCGGCGGCACCGTCTCCGCCGACTGATCTGCTGGAGCTTCAAAAGCTCCTTCAAAAACTTCTGAGGACCCAGCGGCTGACAGAGGGCAGATCAGAGGGGAGGGGAGGGGTATAAAAAACAAGCGCACCTGAAGGCAGCAGGTAGAAGAAGGCGAGCTTCATTCGGATAAGCAGGAAGGAGACTCTGCAGGTTCGCTCTGATGACTGAAAGAAACGCAGCTCTGTAGGACTTTCTCGTGAAGAGCTCAGAGGAACTGAAGAAGCTGTGAAGCCGTTTTTGCCCGACTGATCCACTGATCGATTGGAGGATGTGGATGCTGCGCAGCGTCCTGTGCGTGTCTGTGGTCTGCGGTCTGGCTCTGGACTCAAACACCATCAGATCCTCCAAAGAGTCGACGCTGCAGAGCTCCGAGCTGCCGGTAAGACGAGGACACCTCACACTCTGCATCCCGCTGCATTCCGTTTACGTGACGTCGAAAGCCTCAGGTCAGCGCGACCTGAGGCTCCTCACCTGTTCATGCTGCACTGCTGCCTCCTGATTGGCTGACTTGATAACTGATAAATAAGCAGGTGTTCACAATAAAGTGCTACAAGTTGGATCTAATTATTCAAACCTGAGACAGAAGCTCATTCATTTATTTTAAAAATTATTTTGATACATTTATTAAAAATAATTGTATTAATATTTTTGAATGTTTAACATCTGGAGTCAACTTAAAAATCTGCTTTGTCCATTCAAGCTTCCTTTAATCTTTCCAGCAGAAAGAAAATTCATTACATCCTTTTAGTTCAGTATGTTTGAGTTGAATTTTATTTACACAGCACAAAATCACAGCAAAGAAAACCCACAGAAAGGTGTTGGTGTCAGTGGGGAGGATGAACCCCCTCGAACACAACAGAGCTTAGGCAGCAGCAGCAGCGAGAGGGAGAGTCTCTGATGCTCTGAATAAATCTGCGGATGAAATGTGAGAGCAAGTTTTCAACTTTCAGATTCATCAGGACAGAAAATCGCTGAAATCGTGAAAGCGGTTCTTCAGGGTCGCTTTAGAGACGTTAGACTGATCTCTCGCTGCTCGTGCACGAGGCCTCATTTCACCAGTCTGCAGGAAGCTCCAGTGTTAAAGCTTCCTGTCTGCTGAGTTTTCAGTTTAAGAGCCTTAAAGGCCAAAAACAAAGCGAGACGGCGTCGCCCAGCGCAGACGCGTGTCCTGCTCTCTTTGCATGCACTCATTTAATACTTCTGGTAAACGTGTTTCTGGGTTTTGTCCTGCCGTCGCTGTGATGTGAAGGATCTGTGTACAGCAGCAGGTAACAAAAGTCACGCTTCACAGGCACAGGTGACGCTGTCATTACTGCAGCAGGGCGGAGTTTCTGTTCACGTGAAGCTTTGTTGTCTCAGATGAAGATCTTGATCAGCTCAATGATCACTAAGCTGATGGATGAATCAGTCTGTGAGGAGCGCGTCTTCACAGGGTTCAGCTTCTCTGTGTGGACGGATTTCATTTTTTAAGATTCATTCAAGAGAAAAAAAGCAGCTGCTTGGCGCCATCTTTAACTCTGACATCACTCTCTCACCTTTTAGGATCGTTCCCATGACGACAGGATGGAGACAAATTCCAACTCCCACCGACGACAAAGCCCGCCATGTACTTCGACTCAATGCAACGCACCTCCGGTCAGTACCGCCTAGCCCCGCCCACCTGCCGGCGCTAGTAAATCTGTCTCCTGTTAGCTGGAGTTTAATTTGGTAAATTAATAACAAAGTGAATAATAAAGGTTTATTGATCCTCCATCGACCTCCACCTGCAGGCTTCACGTATTCACAGCGACGTGTCTGTGCAGCGCTCACGGATACTCACACACTTTGACATCAATACTTTACGTCTTCACTCAGTGTGACGCAGTGATGACGTCCTCAACAACTTTATTCACAGACATAAACAAAGGCTAACTGCTAACGCTGCTGCTAAAGTGTGCATGTCAGTAATGAGTGACATCACACATGAGCACTTCCTGTTACAGTTTGAATTCACTTTACATTTATATAAATAAGTACCAGGAGGCCCCGCCCCCGCTGTGCATCACTGCCCTACAGGATGCAGCGCGTTAAGGCGACTGTTATTATTTGGTGCGATATCAGTAAACCTAGATTGGATGACATCATTTGTCTGATGATTCTTGCCTGTGTGCAGCAGAGGGGGCGCTGCAGTAACAGAGCTGACAGAAGGCCGTCCCCCAGTGACGGACAGGCGGACGGACAGGCGGGCAGAGTGACGGGAGGACAGAGGGACGCTGACGGCAACAGGACCAAAAGTGAGAGACTGAGCATGTGCTGCTTTCCCAGAGTGCACTGCAGCAGGAAGCGGGCGTGCTAACATGTGTGTGTGCGTTTCAGCTCTGGAGATGTCGAGCTGCGTGCGGTCCGGCGACTGCGCGGACGGCCTGTGCTGCGTCCGGTACCTGACCGGCAAACGGTGCCAGCGGATCCCGGTGGAAGGCGAGGCCTGTCTGCTGCGAGGTCCAACCAAGCGGAGGAGGAACCTGGGACGCTGCGACTGCGATGCGGGGCTTTTCTGCACCGCCGTGGACCGGGTAGAGACGGGCAAAAACAAGGGCCAGGGGGTGTGCGCGCCCCGGCCGAAGCAGGGCCAGCGGAAAACAAGGCATTCTGGGAAGAAGCGGAGGACGGCAGAGGGGAGCTGCTGACGGACTCATGAACTCTTTATTTAAGTCTGTAGAAGGTTTTAGATGTTTCTCATATCACAGGTTCATCCAATCAGCAGCTGCCACACTTTCTCCATCACTGTCACTTCAACCAATAAAAGTCAATGAAAGTTGGTCTGAGCTCTTCTCAGGTGTGTGGGCGGGCACAGGTGGGGTTTGACTGACAGCTCTGTGGGACAAACTCCACCCTTATTATTCATTACTCACTCGCTGAGCAGCATTGTGACCCTGCAGTTCCTCTAACGTCCACCAGAGGCAGCAGCGACTCAGGCCCCATAGACTCCCATGTTAAAACTGATACACAAACTGCTTGGTGTCCAGTGTTGGGCAAGTTACTTTGAAAAACTAATTAGTTACAGTTACTTCTTCAAAAAAGTAACTGAGTTACAATTTTAATAATAATAGATTGGATTGATATAGCGCTTTTCAAGGCACCCAAAGCGCTTTACAATGCCACTATTCAGTCACTCTCACATTCACACACTGGTGGAGGCAGCTACAGTTGTAGCCACAGCTGCCCTGGGGCAGACTGACAGAAGTGAGGCTGCCATATCCACATACCAGGACAGAGTCCGGGGATCGAACCGGGGACCTTCCGGTTACAGATGCGCTTCCCAACCACCGACTAAATATAAATATAATATAGAATATTTATTATATATTATAAAAGTAATTAATTACTAGGAAAAGTAACTATTGTGTTACTTTAAAAAAGTGTTACATTAAATGATGCTTTTTAGGCAATGTAGTGCAAATTAAATGAGCCAAACTGTAACAGCCTTAGAGTACTCAGCTAAACAAGTATTTTTCTCCATGCAAAAGTAAACAAAAAGAATACTTTATAATAATAATAACACTGTATAATAAAACTAAAACATTTTATAAAGTACAAAAATATAAACAGGTAATACAAAGTGTCAACTCCATGGCCATTTACAATCTATTTGAAGTCACACGTGCCGTTCTTGCAGTAGAGGTTTATTAGAGTCCTGCTTTAATTTCCTCTGCTTTTTTTTTTAAACATGAACTCTTGCCACATCCACACACCCCTTACATCCATCGTAGCCATTAAACCAGTGGTTGCATCTCAAAACAAGGAGCTTCTCAAATTTCTTAGCAGAGAGTCAGTTCCTCTTTGGAGAGAAGAGGAGCTTCCCAAGGCTACAGTCTTTGTACTGAGGCACTGAATGGCGTGGCTGCATTGTATCTTAGTGAAATATTCCTTATCAGTGCACATCTATTCTAATGTGAGCCCGAGGCAGGTGAGGTTTACGGCACAAAGAACCACGATGGTCTGAGTGAACCCTGAAGTTATCTGGATATACCAAACACCTCCTTCCTGGTGGAGGCTCTGCTCGAGCACGCTCAGAGGAAAAGCTTCAGTTTATTTTATATGAGAGCATCAGCAGAGGCGTGGAGCTGCTCCACCTGCAGTCACACACCTGTGGGTTCTCACCACAGCAATGCACATTATACATTCTTTCTACACTGCTGCACGCACACACACACACACACCGCCGCTGTGAGCGACTTTAACCTCGTGTTTCTGTGATGAGTGCAGTGCTCTGTGTCAGCTCCGCCCTCCTGTTCAGGTGTAATTCCACAGCTTTACCAGCAGGTGTCACTTGTTAACAATTTAGAAAGGCCTGCACCTGTGAGAGTAATCAGATTACACCAATCACCCACACAGTTCAGCAGAAACGCTCCAGATTTACTGTTAGAACACATTTCACAGTGACATCACTTCCTGTCACAGCTCAGGTGTTCGGCTGCAGGTAAATTTTATTGCTGAAGTTCAGAACAACGCCTGTCCTTAAATACAATTTAAAATGGCCACGCCGATTGCGAGGGTGGCGGCGAGCTTTGAGACTCAAACATCACAACACACGTTTCAATTGTCAAGGCATCGTTTGTTTTATTCTCTTTGATTTAACGAAAAACCGTCAAGACTTTGTGAAAAAACGTTAATGCAAAAGAAACTTCCAAAAGGCAAAGTCACAAATGCAGCAACAGGATTTAACAGAATAAAAAAAAAAAAAGAAAAAGGGGGTGCAGAGGGGGATCAGGTGGGTCTCCATCAATAGGAATGTTGAATGGTGGAGGGGTGGAGCCTAAACAGGGAGCAGCTACAGGACGGGCGGGCAGGAAGGGCGGTGAGCTCAGAGCTGCCCGCAGTTGGCGATGACGACCTTGCCTTTGGGTTTCCCACTACTGGTGCCAAAGCCCTCCATCTTCTTCACCACGTCCAGCCCCTCGACCACGCTGCCGAACACCACGTGCTTCCCGTCCAGCCTGTGGGCACAGAGAGCGCCGTCAGGACACAGTGAGACAAACAGTCTGAATACACTAAACTGACCTCTGACCTTCAGCTTAAAAACCAACCATGACGCCTACTTAAAAAAAAAAAAAAACGAGCTTCCTTTATTACCTCCTTCAGCCAAGGAGACACCAGAGGATGCTTGTGGAAACTAGCAGCCCACGCCACCAAACACATCATGAAACTGTCTGCACGCCACGACACGTCCTGACTAAACACTGCTGATTGGAGAGATTTAAATCTAAACACGGGGCCGCACCGTGATGTCAGCCACAGCAGGTTCACTGCAGCCATAACCAGCAGTCACCTAAGGAGGGAGTGAGTGACGCGCAGAACAAGCGCGCTGCGAGGAGGATCTGTTGATGGATGCTGCGACGCTCCGAGTGCACGAGAAAAATTCCCCGTGCGACCAGAGCTGAGCCCACGGACGGGGTTACCGTGTGCGTCAGTCCCGTTTGTGTCTGCAAGCTGAGTTTGTGTTTCCAGCGCGTGCAGTCCCCTCCCACACCTGCGCACGTTTAAACCACGACGACCCGCTGACAGCGGTTTTAGATCAGCGCTTTTGTCGCTCGAGCCCTTTGTGAGATTAAACCTCGTCTGCAGCTGTGAACATGGGCGGAGCCAAGCGGTTAGAGGTCGTTCGCGTTCATCGTTACCGTCTCAGACGTCAGAATCACTTTATTATGTTCCATAAACATTTTGTTCTGAGCAGTTCTACTTCAGGTTTAACTGAAAGACTAACACGGCGTCATGTTTGACGGACTCCCAGCTCCCGATGACGACACCATCTGACGGTTACCTCTGGTCATTTGATAAAACACTCCAGCACAACCCAGAGCAGGAATATTACATCAGTGCCGATGGATCACTTCACACCAGCGTGGGTCTGACTTCCTGTCTGTGAAGCACGGGTCCGAGCACGTACGTACCATGTCGTCTTTGCGGTGCAGATGAAGAACTGAGACCCGTTGGTGTTGGGGCCGGCGTTGGCCATGGACAGGATGCCGGGGCCGGTGTGTTTCAGGGTGAAGTTCTCATCTGCGAACTTGTTGCCATAGATGGACTTTCCTCCGGTTCCGTTGTGGTTCGTGAAGTCGCCACCCTATGACATCAGAGGCACGTTACAGATCACATGTTGACACAGGTAAGGAGTACTGTAGTGTCTTATTAAATCTGCTCTCACTTTCTCTGTAGAACCTGCATTTTGAGCTCACCTGGCACATAAAATCTGGGATGATGCGGTGGAAGCTGGATCCCTTGTAGCCGAATCCCTTCTCACCGGTGCAGAGGGCGCGGAAGTTCTCAGCAGTCTTTGGCACCACATCAGCACGGAGCTGCAGGAACAAAGTTCAGAGAGAGGGAAGGGATGACTTTGATCTTGAGACACCACCTCGGCCGGCAGCTCCCACGTATGGTCGCCAGCCAAACTCCGGAGGTTTATCAGCCATGGTGAACTTTGCTCAGCCCGCCCACAGCCTTACAGCGCCCTGCTCCGTGGCGCTGCAGGTAAAGGTAGCAAGCCCGGCTGACTTCTGCTCAGCCCGAGTGGAAGAGCTGCAGCACTGCGTCTGCAGGGCCCCCACAGAAGTGACGCCACCGCGGAGGCATGACCAGAGGTGCAGCAGGGTGAGGTCTGCAACTGCTGCGCCTGCTCAGCAAAAACACAGTGTGAACCTTCATCTTTTTTATCCTCCATCTGCTGCGAGAACTGGGAAGCTCCGGTTACCCCACAAACCCCCCAACCCTGCCAGGAATGCAGCCGTTCTGGTTTGGGCCGTTTTTAACGCGTGCATGCTGGGAACGCCCATAACGTCCTGCTGCTACAAGCACAAAATGGCTGGACGGCTAGCACTCATGCTAGCTATTTTTTAGCCTGCAGTTAACCTGGTTAAACAAACATAAGCCCGCCAACGAAGCGCCTCCATAAGCGGCAGCTCTGTTACGTAAGGTTAGGTTCTCACACCGGGAACAAAGGGCCACACGGTAACCCCACATCCGCATCTCAACTCCCCTCCCCCCGCGGACCGCGCCAGCTCAGTGGAAGATTCCAGAAGCAAACACGGGGAACAGCGCAATTAGCCTCGGTGGCTAACAGCCACAGAACCGGCTACTCAAGTTTTATCACATGAGCCTCAGAAAAAGCGTTTCCCCGCCCCGTTCGTCTCACACAGGCGACAGTTCACCGACAGCAGCGCGGCTTTCCCGGGTCTGCGAAGGCCGCGCAGCCGCAACAAAGAGCCTGCAATAAAAGTAGCATTAGCATCGCTCATTCGTCGGCGGGTAAAATACTCGCTCCGAGGGGCGCGGGCCCAGTCTGCGACTCCATGTGACTCGAGTTTGAGACATTTTCCGACCACAGCTAACCCGCTGGTCTCCAATCAATCGGGGACTAATGGCTGTGAGCAGACAGGCATTCAAACCAGAGTCGTTCAGCCCCGGGACGCTGACATTGATATCAAAATCACACTAGCTGCATTCTACGCGCCAACGGCGGCCTCTGCAGCTGCAGTCGGCCCCGGAGCGCCTCGAGCGGCGCTGGCGAGCAGCCACAAACACGTGCACAAGGCCCCCCCCAACACGCTCGTGACAGCTCGGCTAGCTGCTGTGATGCTACAAGGAAACAGGAGGCTGCCCCCAGCAGCTGAAGCCCGGTCCACGCTGCCAGGAAGAGCCGCGGCAGAGGTGACTATCGGCACCCAGCAGCAGTTACTAACCGCCGTCTAAATTCAGTAGCAGTAAGCCCCACCGACCCCCGGGATAAACTACCGGCCTGCGCACCGCAGCAGCAGCCTCACCTCCATCACGATCCGGCCCACGGATGCACCGTCAACGGTGATTTCGAAGAAAACTCTGGGCCTGGCCATTTCAGTAGGTCGAGCTGGAGACGGAGGACTGAGGAGTTTCCCGGCGAAAAGACACAACGGACCACAAGGAAACGAAAAGATCCGAGGATAAAAATTTATATAAGACGCGAGTGGGCGGCGTGAAATCCCAGCGAACCAGTCAGTAACACGGGATTATTTGATTGAAGCGTGTTTAATCCAACCAGCAGAAAGAACAGCGAAAGCTTTTCTCTAAGTGGACGACTGAGTTTAACGGTGCGTTCTATTCGTATGTCAGGCCGACCCGCCCGGGCGGGGCTTGGGTGTTGGGAAGGCTCCTGTCCTCGGAGCACCGCCCCGTTTCGGCGTCCAGTTTAAGGAAAAAGTGAATCTCTCTAGTGCCAAAGCGGCGCGCGCTACAAAAATAGACAACGCGAACCTCCAATGGCAGCAGAGCACACGAGGTGGTGGGAGGGGTGAACGTCAAGTCTGGCAGCCAGCGGGACCGTGCTGCCACCGCCTGGGGAGGGGGGCGCGGTCACGCGGCCAGGGCGCGGTCCGGTGTTTCCTGCAGAGAGCGGACTTACTCATCGTGGAAATTTACTGCGCGCGGAAAAGTTCAGCTCGAGACGAAGTTCAGCAGCACAGCTTAGCGCGCAGACTCAGACTGAGCTGCGTCACAGCTGCAGGAGGTTCGTCAGGAAATCAGCTGTAAACAGTGACAGAGAACGAGTGCAGCACCCCAAACACACCGTAACAGTCTGATTAAAGGGTCAAATTCCCCCACACTGCTGTGCGAAAGTCCTGAGCCCCCCACCCCATCAGTTGCAGGAAAATGTGAAACACGCAGTGATTCTGAATTCAAAATGTGAAACATGTAGAAACATGTAGTGTTGTATTCACTGATGTACCTGCAAACACAACATTAGCCTGACGGTGTGAGCAGCTCTGTGAGGGTCTTCAGGACCAGTTCTCATTTCAGGGAACAGAAGATGATTGGCTGAAGCTCCAGGTCATCTCTACTGTGTCGGGTGGATTCTTCCTCTTTCCTAAGGATGTGACTCTCAGATGCTACAGACACACTTTTAGGCCTCACAACTGTTCTTCCCAGATCTACAAAGTTTTCAGCTCACAGCTCTTTGGGACTCTGCTCACTGGTACAAAAACATTATTTTATGTTAAACTGTTATCAGTTTTCAGATTCAGCTAAAGAAATGGGAACAGGTGTGTTTGAGTGACAGGCAGTGTAAAGTGCGCTCAGGTGTCTGTGTGCACACAACACCGGCTCCTTGTCCAGTCAAGGTCAAGGTCAAGGTCAGATTTATTTATATAGCACATTTCCAACAGCCGATGCTGCACAAAGTGCTTAACAATAACAATAAAATTAAAAGCTACAGTGTAATACAATAATAACAATAGAAACAATAAAATAGAAGAATTGAAACAATACTAACTAATTCAGATAAATCCAAAATGCTTGGGTCATAATGTGTTAAAAGCCAGAGCATAAAAGTGTGTCTTTAGTAAAGATTTAAATTGCTCAAGAGTTTGAGCAGATCTAATATTAAAGGGGAGACTATTCCAAAGTCTGGGACCTGCCACAGAGAAGGATCTATCACCACGAGATTTGAGGTTAGTCCGTGGAATGGACAACAGTAGTTTTGAACTAGATCTCGTGGGTTTTCCTGGAGCATAGGCAGAGAGGAGCTCTGACAAGTAGGGGGGGGCTCGGGCGTTGAGTGACTTAAAAACAAAAAGTAAGAGTTTAAATTGGATCCTGTAGGGGACAGGGAGCCAGTGTAAAGAGGCTAAAATTGGGGTTATATGCTCTCTCCGTTTTGTACCGGTTAGCAGGCGAGCAGCAGCATTTTGAATCATCTGAAGGCGATGGATGGTGGCATGATCTAGGCCATAATACAATGAATTGCAGTAGTCCAATCTGCAAGTAAGAAAAAGGTGAGGAGCCTTTGTGCTGCATGAATGATTCATAGGTCAGAGTTAAGAGGCTTAACGGGGAAAATCGTTCAGTGTCGATGCCGCCGAGCTGCTGTTCAGCGAGCTATCGATCAGTGACCTTTCATCACATAGGTGCTGAGAGAGAGAGGCTTCCTGCTTAAAACCTTAAGGTCAGCTTTTCTTAAAATAACGGAGCAGTGAATACCAGGAGAGGCCTCGAGGAATCAGTTCAACTAAGAAAGCCGTCTGTGAGAGAGGGAACAAAGACGCAGTGCTGTAAATGTGCTCCGTGTCCAGCCGTCGCAGTAAAACCTGCAGAAACCTCAGCGCCCTCCACGCAGCCTCACAACAAATCAAGGTGTGCATGTGCTATGTCTTACAGTGCACTGGACTTCCTGTTCACTGCACATAAGCTGATCGTGTTTCATTAACTGATATGAAATCTTAGAAATCTTCACCTGCTCGATTTTGTTCCCAGAATGTTTTACCTGCGCTCACGTCCTTCATCAAGAATTTATTCTTCTTCCTGCTCCTTTTCATGCATGGAAACAGTGTTACTTTAATTGAAAGGAAGGTTGTGTATGGGAATGCATTACTGCTGTACCATGTGTGAAACAAATAAATAAATTAAAAACTCACATATCTGGATTTAATCCTGGGCTCGGCTGTTTAAAAGATGTAATCTGGATACAAACCATCCCGTTTGGGTAACCCAGTTTTTAAAGGTTTCCAGTACTCACTGGGCTGCAGAGGGCGCCAAAACTCACAATATCAATGAAGCTTCACTGAATCAGTGAAACTAAGTTTGATAGTAACGGCTGTTCCTTTATCAGAGAATTCATCCTTTTATCCACAGCCATGTTTACCTTCCTCAGGTCATGATATTAAAGGTGCAGTGTGTCATTCTCTTCACTGTTTATCACCTCTAGTTTTTTGGCTATTATTACTTTTCCTGTGTAATCCAGTCTCTAGCCAGGTGCTGGGATTGGTTAATCCTTACCAATCCATAGTCTAGGACTAAAAAAACCCTTTGAACAACTAGATTTCAGAACATGATCCTGACTGGATTAATTCTGCTTTTGAACCAACCGTGAAGATGATTTATTATAAAACTGAATTGTTGGAGGCAGGTGCACCCACCAACACCAGACTCCATTCAAAGTTTGATTTTTAGATCGTCTTTCTTTCCATTAGTCTTGATTTAATTCATAACATAATATCGACAATATTCCAGATTACAGTTTACTGAACACAGAGCCGGAGGTTTGAATGTTAAACTGAATAAAGTGGATGTGGAATCTATTTGGAATTCATGTCCTCAGCACCAAAATCTAACCTGTGAGAAAAACGTGCCAGAGTTCATTCAGAAATGTGCAAATTTAAGGAGATGCCGTTTTGTACGTTTCTCTGACCGAACATGTCGTCGATCAAACACCAGCCCGTTTCTTACTGTCACATTAAATCTGTGACGTTTCCTGTTTTATTCACGGGGACTCGTTTCAGCGCGAGTAATGAGCGGTGTGGACGTCGATGCCCGTCGATGCACGTCGATGCACGGCGAAGACCTCGCCGTGATGAAAGCGCCGCAGCCTCTGCGTGTCTTTCCAGTGTCTGTTTATTAAATTACAAACTTTATGTTATGAGCATCGTTACTGAATCATCGTGTACAGGTTTCCATGGAGACACCACAACTGTTGGACTCTAAGTCACTATACAACAACACAGGATGATGATGAAGATGAACCAGCGTTTGTCACTGCAGCTTCAGCCCAGATGTGAGTAAGCCACATGTGCAGACTGCAGCCAGGTCAAAGGTCAACCAGCCCGCTTACAAAAAACCCTCATAACATGAGGGGAGGAGGCTGAGCAGCTACAGTCGCCCGTGTTGCCTCTCTCTGATTGGTCATCAGGAGGTCCGTGTTGCACGCCGGGGCCGGGCGTGGACCCCTCAGCATCTCCAGTGAGAAAGGAAAGCGTGTCCGTGGGAAAAGACGCCGCTTACAGCTCGTCTGCAGCCATCTTTGCACCGAAACTCCCGGCTGTGACGCGCCACACTGCTGCCTTCACGGGTTTCACACCCACCAACAGCTGGAACCGCAAAGGACGCCAGCCGCACTGGAATAACCTGAATCACGGGCTGAGCCAAAACACTGACAGCCAATCAGATGTCAGTGTTGTGCTGTTACACGAAGAGCGACTGGGTGACATCGCTGTGGGCGGGGCAGGTACGTGAAAGCAGCGCTGTGGCGCCTCTTTGAACTGACAGGGAATGAAGGATGAAGCATCGAAACACAATTAAAAACAATAAAATAAAGTTACCATGGAGTTCATAATCACACAAAAAGATTTTTTAGATTCAAAAGTCGCCATTTTGTTTTCCTTCCTCCTCACGGTCCGCCCCTTCCTGTGCAGACGGTGCCATGTTGGCGGCGAGGATAAAAAATAAAGTTCGGATGTTGCCGCGACGTCTCGGCGTGGCCGACCCCGGAGCCGTGCGAGCGCTTCAGTTGTTCTCAAACAGCGACAGCAGGTCGTCGTTGTTGTTGCTCGGCAGGTCCGGAGGGCCGAGGTAGGACAGCAACTCGTCCGGGTTGGTCAACTCAGGAAGCAACTGCAGGAGCAACGAGGACAACCAGCGTTAGACTCGGCGCCGGCCCGCTCACCACAGTTCACACAGTGGTTACGGATTAAGCACAGCTGATCAGCGTGACGCTCGCTTGACTCACCTGCTCGGTTACTAACGACCTGCTCGACGTTATTCTGCTGTTATTGTTTTATCACAACGTTTGTTTATTAAAGTCGTGTTGTTTATCGCCGTGACGATGGCATTTATCACAACACCTTTGTCCAGCACATTCTTGTTCTTTACTCACATTAGAAGCTCAGTAAAGTAGAGTCTGTTTCTACTCACGTCAAGAGAAGTTTCCGGAACATCCGCCGGGCCCCCGAGTCCAAAGGAGCCGTCGCCTTGGAGACGGGGATTCTGGTTGCTACGCTGCATCATCTGGTTGCCACCCCCCATTTGCGAGTTGCCATGGAGACCCTGCGACTGCTGCTGGTGCTGCTGGAGAGGAGCACCATGGGAAGTTGAGTCCATACGGCCTGAGCCTGGCATCTGATAGGGAAGGACACAAGGGGGGAAGGAAAGGAGGAAGAAAGAGAGGAAGGAAGAAGACGAGAGAAAAGAGAGGGGAGAGGAGGGAAGGAAAAAGGAGATGAGAAAGGAAAGATTTAAGGAGGGTGGAAGGAAGTATGGAAGAAAGGAAAGGAGATAAAAGAGGAAAACAGTGATAGGAAACAAGTCAGAGCACAAGGAAGGAAGGAAGGAGACACAAAACGCTACGTCCAGATGAACAGAATCGACTTTTGGAGAAGAGGAGGTTGTGTTTGTTGTCAGAACAAATCTAAAGCAGTGATGATGATGATGATGATGTACCTGTCCAGCCAGCGGGTGAGGGGGGGGTTTGTCAGCGGTGAGGAGGGCGCTGGAGAGCTCCGACTGGTAGGACAGGGGCGGGGGGCCGGGCGAGGAGAAGTCGCCGCCGATGCTGGGCGTCCCCGGACCGCTGAAGTCGGAGAACGGAGCCGACAGCGTGGGGAAGGACGGAGCTGAGGAAGAGAGGCGGATTAATACACGTGACCAGCACAGGAGGTGATCGACTCGCCGCTGTGAGGTGGAGCATCCTACCTGATCCGGGGTACTCAGGCGTCGTGCTGCTGTTGCTGCCGCCGCCCCCCCCGGGCAAGGAGGGGTAGGGCATTGGGGACGAGGAGGAAGAGGAGGGGGGAACCGCCGAGGTGGAGGAGGACGAGGAGGAGGAAGGGGTTGGGCCGAGCGAGGCGATCATCTCCATGACGTTGGGCATGACCATGTGACTGGGGCTGAGCGTCCGGCAACGCTTCAGCACGGGGCCGTCAGGCTCCTCCTTCACGTGGAGGTCGGGCTTCACGGGGACGGGCTTCCAGCTGCACACCGGGTCGATGGTGATCTCCTCGTACTCCGAGCTGAATCGAACACATTTTAAGAGTCAGTTTTCATTTCAGCAGCCGGAGCGGCGAGGAAAACAGGAAGTCACTGAACAACAAAAGGGTCTCACTTCTGCACGTAGATCAGGATTCCCAGCATGTACTGGTCCACCTCCAGACCCTCCAACAGAGCCGTCTTACTGCAAACACACACACACACACACACACACACACACACACACACACGTTAGACCTGCAGAGGACTATTTCTTCAGTAGAAAGTAGTTCCGGTAAAAAACTGACACCAAACACTCAGCTGAGGTGAGTCGGATTTGATGATAACAAGAACTCTGTCTGCGCGTGCGTGAATGCGTGCGTGTGTCGTACTTGCACACAGGACACCTCCAGGTTCCTCGCTCACAGTTGAGTTGCAGGTACGACTCCAGATCGAAACACTGAGAGAAACAGGGTCGTCGGTCAGATTTGAGCAGGAAGCTGCAATTTTCCAAACCTGCACTTCCTGTAATGCCCATTGACGTGGAGCGCTGTGATTGGCTGGCACTCTGACCTGTATGTGTCTGCAGTCATGGCCTCTGGCGGGCAGCTGGATGCGTCGGAACGTGATGGGACACTTTAGCGAGACCCTGATGGCGGTCTGCTCCACGCCGTCCTCGCCGTTTAACCCGGGCGTCCCGGGGATGGAGCCGCTGCTGAAGTTCCTCTTTACTGAGAGACACAGAGGCAGGAAATCAAAAAACATCAAGGCAGCAAGTTGAGCCTGGGGTCAGAGTTCAGCTGCTGACCCGCAGAACACGCCCACCTCTGCCGCCATTTTACAGCAACACACCAACGAGTGACGACATCATCACTAAATATTATTTATTTGGGGGGG